CTTTGAGTGTTGGGGGGGGGGGGGTTTGGTCGTTATGCTGGGCCGCTGACAACATCAGGAGGGGCGACAGGGGGGCCCCCAGGGGGTCCGAGGAAAGGGGGGGGGGGGGGAATAGGGGGCTGTTCAGCAGTCTCACTCTTTTCTTTTTTTTGTAATAATTTTCTGTTCGGTTTTTATATTATTACTCTTCAGTAAGTCCAGTTTTGGATGCAGGGAGTGGGCAAAAGAAGCAATTGAAACACCCAAACACAACACTGAAGACAATGTTTTTGAGCATGATTTAAATGCCAGATAAGCTTTCCCCACAAAAAAGACCAACAAATCAAGTGGGGAAATAAATAAATAAATATGAAAACACCCCCTCACCAAAAAAAAAAAAAAAGATTCAATGGTGTTGCCCTAACCCTGTTGATATCCAAGTCCCTGTTCTCGATTCCAGCCCCCCATCACCACCAAACCTCTCCGCCCTCCGTTACCGAATCTCTCGCCAGTAAAGTCTGCTCTCTGAAAAAGCTACCACACAGTGCCCTCGTTCATTTCCGAGGGCGGGTGGGACAGGTGGTTGTTGTATCCGCTGCCGTTCAGCGACAGTGAGGTAAAGGGTGGACTGGGGCCGAACACCTCAGAGGAGATGCTGTGCAGGGGCCCCGGGATTCCGGGCTCGGGGCTAGGAGAGTCCCCTGGGTGGTGGGACATGATGTCGGAGAAGCGCTGCACCTCACTGGAGGGGTGGTGGCCCGGCAGAGGGTGGTCCATACCTCCAAGGGGGGTGCCCGTGGGGCCTGAGGAGGGCACGAAGGGGAGATCGACTGGGGTCTGGGCCTGCGACGACGGAGGCCCCTGAGGAAAGAAGTCATAATTCCCTCCTGGGCCGTAGTACTCACTTTGATAATCTGTAGATCCAAGAGATGAAGAATAATAAGAAAAAAAAATCAACGTTAGCTCTGAGAACAATGGGTTTGCATTAAAAAAATCCAGAGACGTTGAGGAATTCATTCAATATACATAGCTTGATTTGTATTAGTGAGGGAGAAAGACCCTCGCCGTGCTACATTAGTCACAGTGCACGTTACACTTAAATCAAAACTGCAATTGGGTGGGGAGAACAACGTGGCCACAAAATTAATTAAAGTGGGGGCCATTTCATCAGCAGTTCTACCTACTGAGACAGATTTTCTCTCTTTTTTTTTTTTTAAGTTCAGCAGAATATTATTAGACGTTTTGCTTCAGTAGAAAAGACAAAGGCCCGAGCACAAATGAAATTCTCTGAAAATTATCATATATTCCAAAGCACTTGAAGGAAGAGGGTGGTATCAAGTCACTCAAATGTGAAGTAACTTCACTTAAACTTAACTCAGTGAATGAGGTGACGCTCACTGACTAACATCTCTTCTCACTGTGTTTTTAAAAGAACCCTCTTGGATGAATATCCACAGCTGCCATGATAACTATTTTTTTTACAGTTTGGTTTACATATATATAGGATTGTAGTTTTGCATATTAAATTATCCTGTGCTTTTTGTAAAAAAAATAGCTCAGGAAGAAAACCATGCAGGTGGCGTATTTCCTTGAGAGCGTGTATTTGTAGGACAATAACAAAGAGCTAAATTATATGACCTTATTTCTTATTCAACATCAGCTGATGATGAGATAAAATACAGCAATGTATAAGAATTATTTCATTTCAGCTGACGAGGTCAGAAAACTAGAAAACATTTTGCTGATAGAGGAAATAAGGAAACATGCAAATATGAATTTAAAAAAGTTAAATTGTTTTACAATAAATATTAATCAATGTAAAGCATCATGGGCTACATTATACATAATGTATAACAATGTGCATATAAGGCCTATATTACACATATACACAATATTGACATGAATTAAAAATATATATATGACTCATTTTCTATCTTTGATAAAATGAGCTCAACATACCTCCATAGTAGGAGAAGGGCCCGTTGGGGATGAGCTCCCCGGGCTCCAGTCGGTCCACCAGCGTCCTCATCCGCCTCGGGCTGCGGAAAAACGCGTGCCTCCTGGCGCCCAGCGCGCTCAGCTGCTTCATGCGTCTCTCTTTGGACCGTCGGTTCTGGAACCAGACCTGGACACACACACACACACACACACGGGTCACCTCCTCATACTCGAAGTCAAAATACGCAGTGTGCTGCTGATGACGCCATTTTGATTGCAAGCCAATGGCTTTTTATACTGGGAGGTGAGAGGAGGAGGAGAAGGGGGGGGGATGATGGAGGAAAAATAAAAATGAACATTTAAAAAATTATTTTTGCGACGAAGCGCAAACACGCGGCTGTGTCAACCCGAACCCATTGAAAAGAAAGTGTAATTAGGTGTCATATTTACCTTGGAGCCTGCTCCACATTTGGCTCCTCGCTGGAGTAAACAACCGCGCGCTCTGTGTGTTTTGCGGCGCGCGTGATGAGCCGGTGCCTTTAACCCGCAACGCTCTGCGGTGGAGGCGATCGCGCCCAATTATCTTTACAGGAGCGAGCATCACATCTAACCTCCCTAATGGTCCTTTAACCCTCCATTTACTCCGACTGGAGGCTGCAGCAGCGGGGGTTTAAAATCTCCAATTAATACTTAATAGGAGGGTTGTTTCCAATATATTACCAGGCTCTTGGAGGTTATCATTTCCTAATCTATAGGCCGGATTCCTTTAATTACGCTCTTCCCTTTCCCCCTTCGTGCTCATACATATTAGATAGTCGCCACTCTCACTTTATCGCTATTAATCTGTTATGTTAAACCTTTTTTACCTTGGCTCTGCCCTGCAGTTTTATCTACATCGTCACCCTCTCCCTCCAGAAAAAAAGAAAAGTCAAAGCCGTCCGCAAAATGAAGATGCAGAAAGGCTCTATATACTTTCCCCCTGCGAATGTGTGATAGATGATAATAATAGTTCGCACATGACAAATCATTCTGTATCAACACGTGAACGAAGCCTTTTAACACTTTGTGGGTAAATCACCAAAAAGTAAAACTGTCCCTCCCACAAAATCAAAGGTCACAATGATAATAATTGGATAATGACAACGGCGCGTCAGTTGTGTGTGTTGCTCCTTGTTTAACTTATCGCGGGTCTGTAATTCAGAGGTGTGAGGAAACAGTCTGAGGACCCTTGAAACAGATTTCTGCCTGTTCCACTTGGCTGAGCTGCTCTCAGCATGGCTAAATGTGCGCGCAAAACGTGATGGCAGCGCAGTGCCAGGACTCCCAGCGCTCCCAGCAGCCCGGCGCCAGTTGGCGACTCTGCCTCGTCCCGCGCGCCAAGAATAAAAAAAAAAAAAACATATAAATTACCCGTCTCCAAATCAACCTCGTCGGTCAGGCCAATCGTTTGGCTTAATGAAATCAATGTGACGGCGCAGTTTTGGAAGGAAGAGGCCTCCTTTAAAGAGGGGCGAAAGATGTGAGAGGGGGAGGTGAAGGGATGGATGGATGGGTGGATGGTGGGGGAGGTGGAGCCTCTCTGATGGGATGAGGCCTGCACGGTCGTGGCAGTCTGGCATCTTGGCAGGGACATTCCCCCCCCCCCCCCCCCCCATAAAATATAAGCTGTTGCATCACACCTTTTAATGGGTGCGTGACACCCTATAAAATAAAATGAAATGAAAAAAGGCGCAAGCCCACCTCCTCAACCTCTGGGTGTCTGAATTTTATTTTCATAATTTTAACGTTTCATGATTTGCTATCAAACCATGTAGTCGCTCATGTCGTGGGACACACGGTCCCCAGTTTGAGAAATATTCAAATTTGAAATTAAATATGTTCTATCAAATACATATTTGTTTAGTAAATAAAGGGATGAATTCATGGTGAAATAAATGATCCAGTGTGGACGCTACGCATGCAGCCGTGCGTTTACCTGGATGACCCTCATGTTGAGGCCGGTCTCCTGGGCCAGCTGCTCCCTGATGTGTCTGGTGGGTTTGGGGGTGGCAGCGAACGCCGCCTTCAGCGTCTCCAGCTGCTTGGCCTTGATGGTGGTCCGCGGGCCGCGTCGCTTCCCGCCGAGGTTCTGGTCGTCGTTCTCGTTGTTCACCGTCTCTTTGTCGGACAGCGCTGCGATCTCCGTGTCCTTTAGTACCACGTCGTCCTGTAGCTGGTCTTGAGAGTCCGGTGATAAACTCGGGTCGCTGCACGCCGTTACTACAGAAATAAGAAATATGGGGAATCAGAGCAGTGGAATCCATCCTCCTCCTCTGAGGCTGAACTATGACCTCCAGTAAAAAAACAAACCAAATTTCCTGAAATGTTCATTTGGCTTTTACGCATTGGGACATTATTATTATTATTATTATTATCATCATTATTCTACAAATTAAAAACAGCTCATTTGTTCGCGTTTCTATTTCTCTGTGCTAAAAACCCTACATGTTATATGGAACAAACCCATTTACATCACAGATCAGCTTCTTCAGTGGGCTCAGAGAAAGGAACGGTCTGAAGTGGACATATTACGCATTAGGCAACAGAATGATCTATATGTTTTTTGTTGAGCTCTGCTCTCGGAATGCCGTCTAAGTCCTGGTCATGGAAATGATGAAGCCACTGTGGGGCTGAACACATCACATCCATCACAATTTATTCCGCCTTGTGCTCACACAAACACGCACACACATGCACATGCACGCACTCGCAGGGCTCCCTCTGTACCTGAGAGGAGGTTGGTGTCCTTTCCATTGGTGTTGCTTATATAATCGTCTTTGCAAACGAATTTATTCTCGTCTATGATGTAGAGCTCCTCGCCGGTGGAGAGCTGCTTATTGCACATCATGCAGGTGAAGCAGTTGAGGTGAAACACTTTGCTCCGGGCCCTCCGGACCAGGTCGTTTGGAGAGATGCCCTGCGAGCAACCGCTGCACTTGGTGCCAAACCGCCTGCGGGAGGAAAGAGGGGCCAGGGTTATTATTATTATCATGAAATATGTATTAACATTATATTTGTTTAACAAATAAATCCATTTGGATTTAAAAAGCTAATCATCCTCAAGTCAGGGTTGGAGATAAGGCGGAAATTATGGGAAGGAATTATCCGCCTTTTGTGAAACACAGACGCTGATTCAAATATTGTGCAGTTTTTGTGTGGGCCTGAAATAACCAACGAATTTACAACAGAGTCTTGACGTGATATCGCACTTGATTCCCAATCCTTTTGCTAGACCATTTAAAAATATGCATTTTTTAAACTCTGATAAATAATATTCAGAGTATGAATATCAAGAGTGAAAAGAGCAGATCACCTCCACACGTTCTGGATGATGACAAAAGAAGCTTCTTTCCAAACTTTAAAACTGGATTTAAAAAAGCCTTTTTGAATATTGTGAAAATTTACAGATCAAGACTGAGGCAGCAATACTGACATAATAATAATAATAACAGCAATAATAATAATAATTGTTATTATTATAATTTTAAACCTGTTTTTTATGGTTTGGTCATATTGGTAAAATATATCCATCGTTTTTATTGTATTCTATATAGTAAATATCATTTTGCGCATAAACTCAATCTTATTTTTTTAATTTTTTCTATATTTATAACAAATTATTTCCTTCCTCCGGAGTCCAGTGCGCAGCTACTTTTTATTTTCTTCTATTAAATGTTCATGTCTACATTTTCCTGAACGCGGAGGCTCAGTGAGCTCGCGGGTTCAGCAGGTTGGCTGTGGAATAATAAATTACGGCCGTGCCATTGACTTCCCCGTTAAACAATGTGTATTGAGCACCGCTTGTTGACTGCACGTCTGTGATTGCATTGTCTGCGGACTTGATCTTTTCAGCTAGTTTACTATTCAAATCCACTTATCACGTCCTCCTCAGTCGGACTGAGCAAACACACCGGGCAGCGGCTCCTCTGGCCGGGGTTTGATCCTGTGTGCCCCCCTAACACCACCACCACCACCACCCTCACCATCACCCCCCCACACAGGCTCCCTGCGTGCTGTAAAAAAAAAAAAACACCCCAAACTGTGATTTCCTCGATTTCCTAACACCCCCCCTCCTGCTGAGAGCGAGTGCACACACGTTTAATGCAGCCGCCTCTCTTTTGTTGATGTTTTGCATAAGAATTCAAATTAACAAGCTTTTAATTACTCGCTCTTAATCAAGGCTTATCACCTGCAAGTCCTCACTCACGCCTACAGGCACGGACGCTCACTCTGTTCATTTATTCTGAGCAAAACTAAATGAACTGAACGCAGAGTTCACTGTAAACACTGGGTGCAGCGGAGAGGTTTAAAAAAACAAAAAGTCTATCCATAACATCTTGTTAATCTTTAACCATTTTCTTAAACATATATATTTTTTCAAATAATTAAATTTATTAAATAAATACATAACTTATTGTATTTGAACGATTCTTTGTAAAAAAAAAGTCAGACTAATTTTAGGAAGACAGATTTTTTTCCAGATAATTGATGACAAAAACAACTTATTTAAAAGTTGTAAATTACATTGAGGATCATTTTGATCTGCACTGTATCCACACAAACTATTTTTTTTAATAATTAAATAATACATTTACAGTCTCTCCATCTATTCTTAGGATGCACCCTCGAGTCTTTGCTCCTCACATTTTAAGCAGCTGTTTATATTTCTTGATAATATAAAAACAATTATTAAAGGTGTGTGTCTGTTTGTGTTAGCCTGCACCTCACTCTCCACTTATAGACCACACACAGAAATACACAGAAACACTGTTGTTGAGTTTGTCTGCCACCTTCTCCGCGCTTACCTAAAGAAATCGTTCTTGCAGTACAGTCTCCCCTCTCGTGAAAAGCATTTCTCAGTTAAATTACATTTGCACTCGCAGCACTGCACGCATTTGACGTGCCAGGCTCTGTCCAGCACGTTGAGCAGAAAGCGGTCCAGGATAGGCCTCTCGCAGCCGGCGCAGTGGACCATGGCTTTGGCTGGCTGGGCTCACAACCCCGCAGATGAAGCACACACACAAAACAAAATCAACAGCGCGGGCCGAGCATTGACCGAGTATCTGCTTCCTCCCTCCCTGATTCGCCTGGAGCTCCCGGGTCAATGAGCGCGGAGGAGCCAGTCGATCAGGTGTCACCACAGATTTCTCCCTGCATGCGTAAAAAAAGGCTCAAGCGTCCAAAGGGAAGAAGAAGAAAAAAACAAAAACACACAAGAATGGATGGAAGCGGCGTCCTCTCCCTCTCGTGTGGAAAAGCCAAAAAGCAAATAGGTGAATAAATAAATCAGTCCCTTGTTGCATCCGGAGCAAAAACGCACAATTCGACCAAAATGCAGATTTCAACGCAGGAAGCCGCAGATCGGCTCAGACGAGAAGACCGGAGCCAGTTTGGTTGTTGTCCCGGCGCTCTTCACAGTGATGCATCGGCCGAGGAGAGGAGCGTCGTGTGCCAGTCACTGCTGGAAGAGGCGTCTAATAAAATTCTTTTAGGGCAGAGCTGTCACACAACAAGACACGCACGCCTATAAATAATTCAGTGTACTTTGACATGGCAGCGTATCCACTGTTCACAACCCGGCGAGAAACAAAATCCCACACCCCAAAAAAAGATTCAAACAACACAGGAGTGCTTCCCCAATCGGTGTCTCGGATGATCCTGGATGTTCAGCTTGTGTCGGTGGGAAGATGCTGCTATGCGCCGGCGGCTCCGGTGGTAGTAGGTGTGTATGCTGGGATGCCCTAAGTCTCCAGTACCGTGCGTATGCTGGGATGCGCTGGGTCTCCAGTACACTGTCTTGCTCCTAAAGCTCCAACCCAGCCTTATTCCCAGCCTCCTGACGTCAGGCCGCGGCCCGACCAATCAGCGGCTCACCATGCCAGCAATCATCAAGCCGCCCCATCATAACCCAGCGACGGCTCTGCCTGCTATTTATGCCGCACACTCAAGACACCAATTGTCAAGAATTTCCCTGCAAACTGTCATATGTAAGTGAATGTGTTTGGAGGAAGCCGCGGCGGCGGAGGGCGAGCAGCACGAGGGGAGACTTTCCAGCCGCTGAGCTAATTCTTCTGGGCATGAGGGGGACATGACGGAGGAATCCGAGCAGGTAGATACGGTGGCGTCTTCAGGACGGAGAGGCTGGAGGCGCGTATTGCATGGCGCGCTCCTACTTTATTCGCGTAAAGTTACTTGGTGCCAGAAAATTACGCACGAGTTTGGCATATTTGTTTGTTTGTTGTGAAGATATTCACAACGACCGAACCCGGGCGATGGGTTCTGGAGATGTCGCCGTTAAGTTCTCTCCCCCCCTCCCCCCCGGTGCCGTGGCAACATTACAGGCTGTCAGGTGTATTTACCGAAAGAGTGTTTCCCTGTGCAGCAGCAGCAGTAGCGCACTTTTAGCACTTTTCAGTTTGGTGCGAAGGAGAGGAAGCGTGGAAGTGAAAGACGGAAAGGCTCTAAAGTTGACAGCTCGCGCAGCTCAGCTCGTCATGGGGCTCGCGGCCCAGACACCTCGGACAATTCATTAAGGGAGGTTCAATCCACTTCAAGTCCACCTTAAGTAAAAAACACCGTGAGCCTAACAGCCTCGCGGATTATTTCTCCCCCATCAAAGAGATCAAGTCAAGTATGAGCTGGATATTTAAAGACCTGAGAGTATTTAACGATTCAAACATGTGTTTTGTTTTTTCTTCTTTCTTGCTCAGTTACATTTAGTAGATTGTCAAGTCTGGACGAAAAGAAAAAAAAGTACGTTCGCTGAACAAATTCGTTTCGTTCCACCATCTAATCAAGTTGTGCGTTTGCCAGGAAACAAGTTTGTATTCATTAATTTGTGAAACGTTTGTTGACGCGAACTCTTCTGTTGTGGCCTCTACGACAAGGAGCTGAATAAACGCAAGTACAATAAGGAAATGTATTTGTCTTTGTTCGTCTTCAGATGGAATCAGCTGCGGTCCTTGCGCACTTTAACGCGCGCGCGAGGGGGTGGGGGGGGGGAGGTGGGGTGGATCCAGGGACACCCATTTATTCTGTACCAATAGCCCGCCAGCATCCTCCTGCATATGGGCTGCTTCTCATGCAAAACGCCAGCCCGTCCCCGTCCAGCTGCCTCTCGGCGTCTGGGGAGCACCCCTTCAACAGGACATGTGTTACTGGCTGGAGGAACAAGAGATAAGGCTTCAAAACACGCACACTCCATCTCTCCCTCTCTCTTTTCTTTTAATTTTTCATTTCACCACCTCCTCAGTCTGCGGCTCTCTTCTCCTTTCTCACTTCCACGTTCTTCTGTTCGTGGGACGAGCGCATCCGGCTCAGCGTCTGGTTATGTTTCCATCACGGGGACAGTGTGGGTCGTTGCGCACCGTGACAATTTTGGCGGGTCACAGTTCTGCATATGAGGACAAGCAGCATAGAACCTTTTTTTTTAATTTCGTTTAGCTTCTGGGCGACAGAACTCTTATTTCTCTTTTCACTTCTGTGTTAAAACCTTCAGACGTGCTTGGAAATAACCACTGGGATCTGGCAGACTGCGGGCCTCAAACCACCGCACGAACTTGTAAATGCAGCATGTAAACGACAAAAGTTGTTGTTATTTCCATGTGTAGAAGATGCCTCGATAGTCTGTCAGTGGGGATAATCTCTGCCTGATTTAGAATAAGCCAGAGAGAGAGAAAGCCAGGCGCACAGAGGAAGATTAATCCACGAACAGAGGGAAATCAAAATATAGGCTATAGGCTTAAAAATATCTCAGCTCCCCTCCAGGCAGAGACACTATTAAATGCAAAAAATGGTTTTAACCTTACCACTGTAATCCCTCACTCGCGATAGATTTTTTATTCTCACTCATATTTTTATTCGGGTGCAGGCAGAAGTTGAAAATTAGAATTTGCGGCGCAGCGTTTTTGTGTGCACGTTAAACGAAAGTAAACTTGTCTCCGTCCTTTTGTCTCAGAGTGACAGGAGGTGGATTTGATGGCAGGAGGCCTTGTCAGCAGGCCTCAGAAAACAGAAAATAACAGTAAAACAGCAGTGACGAATTAAAAATGTAAATACCCAAATTAATCTGGAGTGTATTTTCACTGGCGCCCTCCAAACGCACTTTAGTTTTATTCACATTTTTTATTTTCAGCTCCTCAGAAAGTGTCACTCCGTCCACAGCAGGCCGTGCAGCCCCAGATAAGAGCAGGCATCTCTGCTGTATCAGGGCCGCGGTGTTGTACAGCAGCCCAGGAGATTTGGGGTTTATGAAGTGCAGACAAGTGAAGTGGTACACTGCGAGATAATTAATCTGAGATAATGAATGAGGCTGTGAAGATGCATGCAATCATTAATTCTAATCATGACACGTTTATTTGTCTCCCCTCTCTCCCCCAGGCTCAGTTTAGCGACACAGTGTCACCACAACAGTGTGCGAGGGGCTCCGGCTGGAGGAAGGACGGAGGGAAGACTGAATGCTGCACGGAGCAGGTGATTAGATGGGTTCTGGGGGGGGGAGGGAGGTGTTTAAATTATGAGAGATACTCAGAGCAGTTTCCCGTGGTGGCCAGGAAGTGATACCGTCAGGATGAGACCTGATACCCCGGCCCTGACCCGGACCAGTGAGACCGAGCAGGGGGGGGGACTGGAGCTTTGATCCACCGGGGTGGAGGTGGGTGTGGGTACCGGTCCGCTGCTCTGCAGATGCAAGATGATGACGATTATTATTTTTTTGTATTATTATTATTATCTCCAAAGATGGGGCTGGTATTCATATTTCATACCGAGGCGCATTGATCATTCTGATTTACGACTGCGTTTATTTTAGGATTAAACGGACCATAGAAAAAAAAAGTTAATATCATCTGTTGAAATTTTTTAACTTTATTCCCACTAGAAAACATCACCTCATGTAAAAAGAGGAATTACTCGAAGCAGGGTTTGATTATTTACATGAAACAAAAAAATTTAATGGATTAAAAAAAAAGAAGCATATTTTGACTTTTTTTATTTTTGAAAAAACCCCGCTCATTTTCATTTTAAGAAAACATTTAAACAATGGATCTGTTATTTATAAGATGTGTGCGCAAAGCGCGCGCATTTACCCCAAAGTTTATCGTCATGTTCATAAACTTGAAGTGAGTTTGTAGAGATGGGCATGTCTCTGTTTCTGCCAGGCTGTCAATCATTCTCCACGGCGTTATCACGCCCTCCCAGGGCCGAAATTCATCCATCCATCCATCCATCCATCCATCCATCCATCCATCCATCCATCCATCCATCCACCCATCCATCCACCGTGCCTCTGTGTGTCCACTGCGGTGCGCGATGCTCACGCAGCAGAAAAGGCCAGAGATTCTGAACGTGTGACCCACTGGATGAGCTGCAGCAGCTAACGCCAAGCACGCAAAGTCCCACAATCGACTGGCCAAGCTGTGTGTGTATATGTTTGTGTGTGTGTGTGTGTGTGTGTATGTGTGTGTGTCCCTCCTCCTCCTGTAGATCAGGGGCCAAACATATGCCGATGTGAACTCAACGTGGATTATTGAACCAACAGCAACTCTACGCAAACATTTTCCAGACTTTTCAACTCTGGTCCCAGCCTGTGCTGAGAGAAATCCAATGGGATTTATAGATCATCTCCCTACAGCTGTCCCTTCTCAGTCACTCCCCCCACCCCACCCCGCACACACACACACACACACACTCTCACACACACATACACACACTCAGAGGCTGCCATGATCTGCAGCACCATCATCCACCGCTGTCTCCACTGTCCGTGTGTTTTCTCAAGGAGATCATATGACTCAGTGAATTAGTGGGTTGGGGGTGGAAATAGGGTCCAGGGGGTGAGGAGGGGGACGTTGGTTCCAGAGCAGTAACCCTGCATGAGGCTCCGGGGTCACCGAGGAAACAAGGCCACCATCACCGCCACAGTCCCACACACTCCTCTAGGGGGCGAATCAATCCTGGCAACGGTAGGTTGCACAGGCCATGATATCACCATCTCTGTTAGAAGGCTAATAAACACACCATCATACACCTAAAGCAAGCGTCGTTATTTATATCCATCTTCATTTAAACTCAGAATCTATCTATTAACAAAAACTAATGTAAATAAAGTCATAAACACTCAACATGGGACGTTTTCAGATTATTTTTTTATTCAGTGAATGTATTTGACGACACACCTTCGTTCTCCCGCTGTCGCCCATAAATAACAATATTCACACAAACTCAGAGAGCAGCCCGTTAAATCCACAGCGCAGCTCACACAAAGCGCCACCATCCCCATCATATCACTGACTGAGAGCCGTCAGTGTAAATCACAAGTGAAAACGCTCCTTTCTTCTCTCCCCTCCTGCTGCAAACACAGGCACTGAGAAATGAACATGCACGGGAAGCAGCCTCTAATGCACTTCCCCTAGTTTAGATTAATGGTGCTCCGCGCTTATTCTGCAGTCGGGGTGAAAGGGCTAGGATCACTAATGATTATAATATAATGTGTGGCGATAACCACTGCCTTTGAGATATTATCGCCCGCTGGCCAATGCTCAGGGGACGAGCTGCATGGCTGCAGAGCGCCAGATATCTGCTGCTGCTGCTGCTGCTGCTGCTGCCACCGCAGCGGATTTCTGCGCCCTGATATAAAACAAGCCCGCGAGCATGAGGAGGGAACTGGCCGCTGCTGATAGAAATATACAGCAGAGCAGAGAGGCCCATGGACGCTGCCCAGCCACCACACACCCGACTCCTGTGTTCTGGAGATGAGATGACGAGGGGGTTTT